TCTGGGCAGGTGCCCTGGCCTTGGGCACTCAGTGTCAATTTGCTGTGGTGATCTCAGCAGTGTATAATAACACAGAGCTTACTGTTTTCTCTGGGGAACTGATCTCTGCCATCTGAAGAGCAATTGTAACTCAGTTATCTCCAGCCCTCTCCTGGAGATTGGCAATAATGGTTCCACAGGAGGAAATGGCTTGTTTGGAGGGTGGAGTCTATGGCTTTGTACCTGTCTGAGGTCCCACCACTCCTCAAACCCCACTCTCTCCAGGCTCCACCCCTCAAATCTCCAGTAATTTCCCAACCCTGTGATGGCAACCCTATTTTCTTCCCAGCCAACCATCAAAGTACCGTTATCTGCTCCATCTCTTCCCCCCTCCATGTAGCCTCTACCTAGGAAAACTACAGTCTTTCTCCACAGTGGGGACCCAAGCAGGAGGGTATAATCACACAGAGTCCACCCTGCAAAGCAGCTGTTTTTTCCAGTAGAGCTGATCCCTGCCATCTGGAAAGCACTTTTAATTCTGAGTGATCTCCAGCCCTCACCTGGAGATCAGCAGCAATGGTTCCCCAGAAGGAAAAGTACAGTCTTTCTCCACAGTGGAGACCAAAGTAGCTTACATCATTCTCCTCTCCCTCTTTTGATTTGCAGAACAACTCTGAGGTAAGTTAGGCTGAAAGTCTGTGACTGGTCCGAAATCACCCACCCAACTTCCACAGCAAGAACCTGGGGCTGGCAGACCCTGCTCTGAAGCACTAACTGCTACGCCTAGGGTAGCTGACCTCCAAATGGAGCCTGACGATCACTGGGTATCACAACTGAACTCCAGACAACAGATCTCGCCCCACCTGGAGAAAATAACTGCTTTGTAGGGTGGGCGCTATGACATTCTATTCAGTTGAGGCCTCTCCCCTCCCCAAACTCTGGCTTCCATAGACTCCACCACAGAATATCCAGGAATATCCCAACCTGGAGCTGGCAACCCTAGTCAGGACTGGACCCAATGAGTTTCCCACAAAGGCCTGGAAAGCGCCTTTCCCTTTTTACTGACAGAACCAATCTTGGTTGCCTAGCAAAAGCCATTGAGGAAAAAGTTAGTTCCACAGGAGCCAAGCAGGAGAAGTGTCTTTGTCAGGAGAGACAGCCGTTTGGCAATTATTCTGTGAGAGGAGTGTCCAGGCTGGCAGTGGGCGGGGGAGAGGAGCAGACCCAGCACCCAGCCAATGGCATGCAAATACTCTTGAGTGGCAGTTGATGGGTCAATGGCTGATAGAGCGCACTGCACAGCCAATGGGAGAGCTGGAAATGGCCAATACATAAGGGAAAAATATATAGGATACAGAAGACAGCATAACCTTTGGTAAACAAAATAAAATAAAATACAATGTTTTATCTAAATTTAACACATGGCTTAGTTTATGTAACAAATGGGCTTTTTATGATTTACTCAGTTACAGAAGATCTATACTAAGGCTCAGTTCAGACATAATACAAAAACCACTTTTAATTCAATTAACTGTGGTTAGTGTGATCATCCAAACGCAGGCCACTCCACTATCCATGGTTAGTTAAAGTCTGTCAAATCATGTATCTGAAAGGTTGGTTTGAAGTTAGCCTTAACAGTGCTTTTATATGATGTATTTATCCTGGCTTACTCATAGCTTATCTCCCCAGTGACACCCTTGAACATCCCAACTACAGAGATGCCTGGCCAAAGTAAAGGTGATGAAACTAGCAATTGTAGCAAGCTACAATTAGAATGATTACCTGTGAGCTAATCTTGGTTTCACAAATGAACCATAGTTAAAATAAGCCATAGTTTGAACGAAATCACTAAGAAGCTGTTACTCCTTGGTTAGAAATCAAAGTAATCCTTTGTTTCCATTTTAAAGAACCACATAGTGGAATCCAGAGAGCATAAATTTTTTCCAACTCCACACTGAAAACTACTTGCCGTACCCTGTCCTAAAGAAAATCTGAATGTCATTCATCATTCATGAGTTCAAAAGACTGAAACAGCCACATTGAGAATGAGGTGAGATTAGGTGGTGGCAGATTCTGGGAGCCAGCATCCACCACTGCCACCATTGTCTTCCTTTTGCCACCCTCACAATCGTTGAAACACAATGCGGAATGCTGCCCATATCCATTAGGGCTTCCCAAACTCCTGTGAGATTCAAATACTTACGTGCATGTGGTTTGCAGCACTGTGTTCCAAGATGCTTGAGAAATAAAGAGGGAAGGACTTGGTTATTTTGGCTCTTGGGCTTGAAAAAGTAGGGAAAGGCAGCCAAGACGGCAGCTGGAGGCAATGACCACCACTGGTCCTCACATATATATCAGAATAAAGGGGCAGGGAGAGATAGTTCACTCCAAAAATGAACAGTTTTGAAACTTAATATTTTGTCCACCCTAAACATAACATAAGCAAGACACATCCAGGCTTATCTTAGTGGGTAGCGGTTTATTTAGGGTAATATATATATCAGGCTATCAGGATGTAGGAGCAGAAAGTAGTTATGGTACCTGTCCCCTTAGTAACTAAGGCAATCCAGCGTACTCAAGCACAAACATTTAGAGAATTATGCTTAAATCAAACTCATTAATACATTTCATTTCTAACTTTGTGTGAGTGGATAATGGCAATTCTTTGATTTTATTATGGTAGCAGTCATTTTACATGAGTAACTTTTCTGTAATCTGTTCAACCACAGAGTGCTGAAACAATACATTCACATTAGGGTAGATCTACTTTATTTGCGTCTAGAGAGCAGAAAATCTGCATGTCAATTGCCAAAGAAATTTCCCCAAGGTTTTTGGTGGGAGAGATATTAGTTGTATGGTACATTTTTAGAATGCTTTTAAAAGTTAATACCAGAAAAGGAAAACATGTTGTGAAGAAAGCTGAAAATCCACAAAGCTATGAAGTTTAGGGCAATCATTATGTGTGTCTCAATTGCATTTTAGCTTTGTAGGGTGGTCCCACAAGGGGGAAATGCCATAATAAATATTCCAGCAGTAGTAGATGGGGATTAGACTTGCTTCAAAAGGGATAACCTTGTCCAAGGAGGCATCCTCTTGTTTCTGCTTTGTAAAACTGCACATAGGTGTGAGGGAGGAGAATACATAGTCTTAAAGCAAGACAAAAATAAAATTTAAAAGCATATATGTTCTCCTGCCTTTCCTCCAAGGAATTTAGGGCAGTGTACATGGCTTTGTCTGCCAGTGAGACTAGTCAGGCTATTTATGGCAGGCACACCCGGACAGCTTCATGGCTGTGGGATTTGGTTCTAGGTCTCCTTAATCTACCACTATACCACACTGCCTTAAAAAAGTGGAGGCTATCAGTGCTAGGAGAAGCAGGTACCTCCTACTGTTAACAACTTTAACAATAAGGGCACACTTCTGTACTTTATAGCCTTATCCTAAGCATCATTAGGGTCCCATTGAAGACAGTAGACTTAGGCATACCTATGTCTATATAAGATCAGACTGAGCATTTAAGTCTCTATGGGTGTTTAAGGCATTGGGGGGGGGGGATGGAGCCAGCATGGTATAGTGACTGGAGTGTCAGAGTAGGATCCTGAAGATCCTGGTTTGAATTGTCGCTCTATTGTAAGGTTGCTGAGTGTCATTGGGCCAGTTGCCTTCTCTCAGCCTAACCTACTTCACAGGGTTGTTGTTGTAAAGTGGAGGATAATGTTGTAAGACACTTAAGTTCCCCTATAGAGGAGAGAGTTGGAATATAAATATCTAAACAAGCAAACATTAGTTTAGTGAATGAAGATACTTGTGTTACATAATTGTGATGTTGAGGCCATCCAGGAGTACAGTCCTCCACACAGTTTGGGTGTGTGTGTGTGTATATATTTGCATTTTGAGTGCAAGAAAAGGCCAGTTCTCTGCACCAGCAGCATTTTTTCCAGAGGCTCTCATGGTCCTTCACAACCACTAAGCAACCAGCCTGAAAAAAACTGACACTGGATAACTTCTTAGAACTATCAAAAGTTAAAAATTCCTTTCAGATGAAGAAGTGAGTTCTTGTATAGCCTGTACAGAAACAAAGGTGAACCTTTCAGGGGTAATGCAAATCGATTCATTAATGGAACAGGCAGCCTAAGGAGATCCTGAAATTTCTTTGGGGTCATAAGCAATGCTCCCTCTAAGCTGTGGAGTTTTGTAAGCAAAAATTCTACTTTGTGAGCTTCTGGCATTAAAGCTCATTGTGAGCGAGCAATTTGGCTACTGCATAAATTAGTTTGCTCTGGAGCCTCCTTCCTGAGCTAAGACAAAAATGTGTGAGCTGGTGGCTAAAAAAACTGTGAGCTAGGTCACACTGACTCAGCTTAGAGGGAACACTGGTCATAAAGGTAAGGCTGTTTTGAGGATATAGTGTATCTTCCCTTGAGGCAAAGAACTGGACAGACTGACCCCACTTCCCTTACAATTTCAAAGTATTGTCTGAATTTCTTTATAAATCAAATATTCTTATTTATAAATAGAAGTCACCATTTTACTGGAGGGGCAAAGTCCAAAGACAGTCTGATTAATCATCACTGAATTGTCCTTTAGTATTATGTTCAAAATACAGGTCACTATTTTTTTCCAGGTCTGATGGTGCTGTGATTCTAAATGGTCACTATATATATCTTCTCTGCCCTTGTTTTAATCCACACATGAATTTGCATGCAGAGCAAGTCTGTGAAGCAGAATTGCCTCAACTTTCTCAGCTCAAAGATTGATTTGACTTATTCTTGAGAAATCAGGTCTCTTAAGGTCTACTTATTTTGGAGCGCAGTGATTTTACTTTTAACAAGATAAACACTAAATTGACTTCCAACATTCTACAAGGAAGGTTGGTTTTGGTACAATATGCATACTGTTTCTTTCATTTGTGAGATTCTTAAAAAAACTTTGTACTGCCTCAGGATTCTATAAGCACAATGTTGCTCCCCCCTTTTACCTTGTGTGATCTGATAGATCTTGAATATTGTTTTTTTAAACAGGAATTATTACTAGTTATGGACTGTATATGAATGGCACTCTGGTACAGAACTCCTCACAGCTCAGCTATTATATTTCGGGACTTTCTCCCTGGAGTCTGCATTCCTTCAGAGTTCAGGCATGTACTGCAAAAGGCTGTGCTCTTGGCCCACTGGTGAGTAACTCAATTTTCATTCTGAGAATGTAATAAATGTCAGATGGCCGTGAATATCAGAGTAAATGGTGATGATTCACACTGGTCAGTACTAACCCATCTGGCAAAAGGTGACATTTTATTTTAAAAATGCCATTTAAAAGCTGCAAAGGATTGGAATAGGTCACTACTAGGCACCGTTCCAAAATATCATATAGATGCTGTAAGGACTGAGATCAGGAGTGGGGGGGAAAAGGAGAATGAAATGCACATCATTGAAATTAAGGAGAGTTAATATGTTTAAAAGGCACAGATGTGGTTCAATCTGATTTATAAGGACATGATTAAAAGAACAATTACTATTCCAGTAATGAGGAAAAAATTCTTGCCTCTCTCTGACCAAAAAGTGTTGAAGACAATATACCATTCATAGAGGACAAAACAAAATTATGCATCGCTTCTCTTTCCCAAACTGATATGCTGTTTAGAAAGACTAAATCTGCGTTTAACGGGTAACTGTTTCATAGCGAAGCAAACAACATGTACAGCATTCGTAAATTGCCTTTTTCTTAGCTCTCTAAATGAGAATTCTGAAGCTTAAGTGATGTTTACATTATTTTATCCAGTACTGGTGGGGATCTTTACCACTTTCTTGTTTTCCCATTATGTATTTCTTAAACATGTGAGAGCTAAAAACAGAAATCTTGTATAAGATTAGCATTATTCTACAGTATAAAAAGGTATGCTGATGAGCAAAATGTTTTTTACAGCTAACAAGCTTCCAGCGTGACACAGGGTTATGTTAAAAATGATGCAGCTATAGTCTTGTTGAGGCTTACCCAGTTGGTGAGGTTGAATTTACACTTCCCTGGAAAAATTAGCCCTTTCATTTCCTTCCTCAGTTTTACAAAACTCCACTGCAATACTTACTCTAGCCTTTCTGGCAAAGTTTTGCTTCACAGCATCTCACTCTATAATAATAGCTCCACTGTATGAAGATTACTTCAAGTAAAAGACATCAAGGTTTAATTTTTTTTAATTTTGATTTTTTGATCACATTTCCCATTTTCTTCCCAAGATTCATTGCTTTAAAATGCTGGTAACATCATCCATCTGTAGAACAGGACTGTAGACTTTATTACCATTAAACATTTTATAGCTTGGACAGGGCTGATGGATATTTACTCTTAAAAGCTTGAGTGGCTTTTTGCCAATTTTTCTAGTCATTCTTTTAAAAAAAATCCTGGAAATTTAGGGAACAGCCCACTAAGCATTCATGCTTAGCTACTGCTGTTCAATCTTCATTCATTTTCAGTGAGGCTCCCTTACAAACCCCACTGGAATGTAGAACGGAACTGCACCTTGCATTTTGTTTGTTTTGTTTAAAATTTCTGGCTTTCATTGATATTGAAATTACCTCCCCATCATTTTCAGTGTACAGGTAGTACTGCCAAGCACCTCTCTTGCTGGTATGAGATGATTCCAATTCCAAATGCATCTATTGTTTGAGTATCCTGATGCCTTCAAATATCTCATCCTGTTCTAGAAGAAACTACTGAATGCAAGTTACTGCACTTCATTAAAGCTGAAACTCAGTTGTGACTTTCAGTCCAATTCAAAGCAGGGGTTTAGAGCTGACCTAATACTTATCTGTATCTCCTGCTCAGAATGCAAACTATTTTCCTGAACCACTGATCCATCTCCAATTGCAAGAATTGATATGCAGTGTCTTTATTTAGAGAGCCACTCTCCTAAATGCTGCCAGGAAGTTAAAGCACCACATCTTAATTTGATTTTTCTGCAAGATTCCCCCCCCCCAGTTACCATGTATGCCCAACACTTACTTTAAAAAAAACCAAAAAAAAAAAACCCTTTAGTTCATTGAGTACTTTAAATAGAAGCAGGGACATCTCCCAGTGGTAAACTGATATTATCCTCCTAGCTATTTTTGTTGCTGATCTTTTATTTAATGTGCCCTAATCGATTCAAGGGATGCTATGCCACGTAAGCACCTTAGGAACCAGATTCTTCTAGTTTAAAACTTTTTCCAAGGTAGCAGTGAAGATCTTAATCAGTTAAGAACTCCCACTGCATGATGCTTTTAAAATGATGCCATTGCAGAATGCTTTTTCAGAGAAGCTGTGTTTGATTTCAGATTAAATGGTGACCCAGGGAATATGTAATCCAAATATTATTTTACATAAAAAGGGAACAAAGGCAGGATCTCTACTCATTCAATTGTGCTGTCTTAGAAGGAAATGCACCAATGAAAATATTTGATCTAAAATGCATGGATAATTTTCACATTTCTCATCCCTACTTTTTTCAGTTCCAAAATCCCTGTTCTGAGTTCACTTCTCCCTTGTGCAAGCTGAATTTGTATTTCTGTAATTTTGCATCATTTTAAATTTTATTTCATGGAATTTCCCCTGTCAAATATACCACATTTTCCAACATTACTTGCACTCACCAAGAGTGCAATCTGGGTTTAAAGACGGAAGGATATATATATATATATTGGCCCTCAGATACATTGCATGCATTCTACTCTTTGTATAAATGGTATTTGAGGCTCCTGAATAAGACACCAAGAGAACAACTCTTCATAGACTGGAGAACAGTACGCCGTGATTTAATCTGAATCATCAAAAAGTACGCACAGACCTGATTATTCTTAAGGTTGCAGCACACAATTCTTCCTTTGCTTCTGTGAGTCACAAGATATAAATAAGGTGACGCAGGTGCAGAACTGAACAGTAAGAACATGTGCTCAGTTTCTAGTACTGCACATGACAGACTGAAAAGCTACATTCTGATGGTAAAACATAATTATGAAGACATAGATAATTGAAAATTAATGTTGCACATATCTCACATCATGCAACCCTTTCTACATTTTGAAAGATAGTGCTAATGAAAAAGATGCTCAGCAAGACCCTTCTGGAATAAATGGCTTCATGATTATACCCCTTACCTAGGACATCACATCTTTCAATTCAGTGTATACATGGAAACTCCATGAGCTGTTTAGCAGTATCTTTTTCTGTTTTTCATAGATGCATATACATATTTTTTGGAATGGAGCTAGCAAACCTGTCTTTTAGGCTTACTTTATAGGCATCGTGGAAAGATTTCTCTTGAGATGGGTATGGGGCAGTAGATAGCTGCATGGAGGATCAGATATTGCCAAAAAGGTTAGCTGGATGAAAGTAGAATGTGACCTCAGGCTCTGAAGTGTACAGATAGTCAGGACTGGGGCTGGAAATTGAGAGACAGACTAGTAGGACTGGAACCAGGGACGGAGGAGAAGCAGGCACAGTGGGAATGAGAGAGATTCATGGTTGCAGAGCGAGCAGGTGCTGAAAACAAATGGCCCAGCTAGGCAAGGCCAGCAAGAAAGGTGAAATGTTTTTTTTCCCCTCAGGCTTCTGTTGTGTTCTCTTGTGGGTGGGGAAAAAGGATCTTTTTCTATTTGAAACTGAAAGAGGTAAGATCTCTGTTGAAGGTGGTAAAGCCAATGCTTTGCGTGATGCTGGATGGAAAGCAGCAAGTCAACTGACTAGACATTTGCAGTAATGAGGTGGGGAGAAAAAACACTGATTTATTTCAGAAGGTGGCAATTCAGAAATGGTGCCTCCAGTCAGTGACAGTACAGTTTACCTACTCGGTGGAAGAAATGGGGGCTGCAAGCTAGATCCCAATTCTGATTGCCAGGATAAGAAGAAGAGGAAGAGGAAGAGGAAGAGATTGGATTTATACCCCGTCCTTCACTCGGAGTCTCAGAGAGGCTTACAAACTCCTTTCCCTTCCCCTCCCCACAACAGACACCCTGTGGGTGGGGCTGAGAGAACTCTAACACAAACTGCTCTTTTTCAAGGACAGCTGTGCCAGAGCTTGTGACTGACCCAAGGTCACATCAGCAGGTGCAAGTGGAGGAGTGGGGAATCAAACCCAGTTCTCCCAGATTAGAGTCCGCACACTTAACCACTACACCAAACTGGCTATGATTAAATTCATAGTCATGGTGGTCAGTATGGTGACTGTCTTTGTAGACTCCTGGATGCATAAACTGAGCCCAGTACAAGACTGAAGTTTGATAGCTGGAAGTACTGTTTTTATACACATCAAAAACTTCAAGGAGTCTCTGCAACTTAAACATTTAATATATTTAAATATAATATGAGACATAACTCTGAGACTCAAAAGTTTCTGAGTTTTAAAGTGACAATGTAATAAGGATTTTTTTTTGTTTGGCTTAGAGCTAAAGTACATGCTACACACTAAAATATATAAATGTGTGCATGTTTACAACAGTTCTGTAAGGGGAAAGCAGCTTCATGGAGGACTAATTTGGAGCACAAGGAAGCAGGGGGAGGGAGAATGGGGGTTGTTAACCCTTCCTTCACCCACTTCTGCCTTTACACATAGAGTGATTAAAATGTGGAATTTGCTGCCAGAGGATGTAGTGATGGCCACACAAATAAACAGCTTTAGAGGGGGATTAGATGCATGGAGTATAGGTCTGTCAGTGGCTACTAGCCATGGTGATTGAGGGGAACACCCACATTCAGAGCTCTGGATCCCAAAGCCAGAAGGCAAAATCCTTTCCTTCAGGACCATAGCTATGGCGGGGCATTTTGGGGGCCTGCCCCCTCAGTTGTCAGCCACGCCCCACCACCCATATCCCTGCCCCACACCTCACCATCCCTGTCGAAAAGGCCAGCTCACATGAGAACGCTGGCCACACTTGTTTGCCTTACTACAGGGCAGGGCAGCGAGCCAGGCAAGTGTGCGAGCCAAGCAGGCAGGCAAATAGTGGGCGGATCTGTGTGCCTGTGCTAAGGAGTCATGTGACACCATCATGTGACCCAGCCACCACGGGTCACATGCAATGCTCCCTCTAAGCTGTGGAGTCTTGTGAGCAAAAATTCTACTTTGTGAGCTGCTGGCATTAAAGTTGTGAGCAAGTGATTTGGCTACTGTATAAATTAGTTTGCTTTGAAGCCATCCTTCCTGAGCTAAGACAAAAATGTGTGAGCCGGAGACTAAAAATCTGTGAGCTAGCTCACACTAACTCAGCTTAGAGGGAACACTGGTCACATGATGTCTGCTCACTCGCCCGTCTGTCGGAGAGCTAGCTGGAATGCACTCTCTGCCTTTCTGTAACTGACTTGGCAAGAGACACAGCCAAATACCTTCTAGTCTCCCTTCTCAGAACCAGCTCAGCTTGGAGTTAGGAACAACACTATCTCCCCCTCCCCCAATTTAAGGGATTGGCCAGTCTCAGCCCTAAAACCCCAAAGGGCAACTGAGTGGAAAGACTCCTGCTATTACATGTGGAAGGCAAAACAACAATAGTTTGGGGCTGGGGAAGTTTCCACAAGTACCCACAAGTTCGCGGTGCAGAGATTCTACAGGTGAAGCTTTCCTTCCCTCCCTTCACTGGCTGAACTTCTGTCTGATGAGAAGCTCTGAAAGGTCTGCAGGGGGGGAGCATGAGCCCGACCAGGGCTGATGCAACCAGGAGCTCCACTTTCCAGAAGCAACAACTAGGCAAAGGGGACCCATGATCATCCATCTTCCCTCCCTCTCTCAGTCAATCGGTGTTCCCTCTCCCTGGCAATCTGAAACCCAGTCCAGTTCCACCACTCTTTCTTCTCACCCACCCAAAGCATGCAGCTCCACTGTTTCTTGCACTAACTCAGCTTAGAGGGAACACTGCTTCTGGAGTTCTTTCTTCAGTGTTCCCTCCTCTCTCTCTCTCTCGCTCTCTCTCTCGTACCCCACAGGATTTCCCAACACCTAAAATGTTCTGGCTACACCACTGCTTTCCTTCCACACAGCTTAGAGCCACCTGTTTGCCAAAGCAACTGCAACTTCTTGGGCAGCACTATGAGGAGGTTGCAGTGGTTCAAGTCGCCCCCGGTTGACAGTGGTAGGAGATGCAACTAGTGGAGCCTCTTGAAGCTCTGTCTGTGTGGGTTGAATCAGAGCCGAGCCTCTGCACTGCTTTTAGTGCTGCTGGGGCATGAAGTGCTCTCAGCTCTTAGTGGCACTGAAAGAGTTTGTTGGTGTAGCCCCTCAAGGGCTTGATGGTGCGCATAGGCTACATCTGGCTTTGCCTCCTGGAGCAGCGCTACTGCCAACCAAATCTCTGCGATGCTCCCAGCACCTCTGGGACTCGGCATGCTCCTGGGCAGCAGGAGGCAATCAGCATATTTTACTTGGGTGACAGAGTGATTACCTTAGGTGTTTGCTCTTTTGTAGCAGTTTTTATGTTCTCTTTGAAGATTGCTAAATTAAGAGATATTGTGATACTATATATTTATGATGGTTTTTCAGGTGTTACCTGAGCTGGGGTTTTTATGTGCCAAGCAAAAATGCACATTTTGGACTGTGTATAGATGCAAGAAGCATGTGTGTTTTGCAAGTCTGTTGCAATCTACATAGCCTTTGTTATTGTATTTTTTTTTACCATAGATGTGGATGTACAATCACAGAAATATATAGAAAATGTAATATGGGGTAAATGTACATTATTTTTCCGTGTGTGAATTTATGTGTCAGGAGGCCATGGCTGGGTCCCTCCTGACTCCTCGTGGGAACCCCCCTGCACAGCTGGGAGTGAGGGCCAGGCCGGGGACAGGACCGACAACCTGGGAGGATGCAACTGAACCCCCGAGACCTCAGCTGGGAAGGGGCCCCTGGCATGCCAACATTCTGACACCAGCCAGCAGATGAATTCTTGCGAGGATTCCCTGAGGGTCCCGGGATTCTTGCCGCAGAAGGGGTTTCTGCGGCTGCCCCGTGACAAAGGGGGGAGGCCGGAGAAGAGATGCCAGCTAGGCCAGCCGAAGAGGCCCCAACTGGGAAGACGAAGGGTGGGGAAAGTTCACGGTGAGGCCCAAACCAACCAATTGTAATCCCATGGCTCGGCTGCTTTAGGGCGTGGGCGGCAGAGCAGGTGGGGAAGAAGGGGAGCAATAAAGAGCAGAGAGACGAAAACCAGGGAGGTTTGCCAGAACCCTATGAGACTGGACGCAAGGAGGGAGATTCAGGCAGTTGCCCCATCCACTCAAACACTCCTAATAGGGGGATGACCGCCGGTTGAGGAAGTTGAAGTAACTGACCCAGGAAAATTCTGAGGTGATGCCTAGCCTCGACAGGAGCTCCCGCTTCAACCTGCATCCGCCCTGCTGCCCGGCCTTGCTGACAGTACACGTGAAAGCTGACACTGTGTTACACATTATTTTCCCATCAGTGGTTTGGGCAAACAGAACAGATTTAGCCAGGCATTGAAATACAAAGTGCCTGTTCTTGGAGAGGGAGTTCCACAGTTGGGGCACCACCACAGAAAAGATCCTTTCTCTGGTAACCGGGTTACCTGAAACAGGTATGAGAAGAATGGTTGGGGTAACACTCTGGTCGTGTTTTCTGATCTGTGAGTTGTTCTTATACATTATTTGTGTGTTCTCTCTGAACATGTTCAAAGATGGTATTAATCTTATACATTCTAGAACTGAGCCATGGCTTTGCAAACAGGTGCTGGGACTAAGGCTGAATGAGCCCTGGGTCAATTTATGCAATTTTTTCTTAATGTATTATTTGAACAAATTATTTGTACTTCCATGTATTGGCTTTCTGTATTAAAACTTTACAAAGTCACTGCATTATTAAATTCACAGGTCGAATCTCGTACAGTGGAAGATGTACCTGAAGGAAAAATTGAAGTATTTGTCATTAATGATGGACCAAGAACAGTTCAAGTGAAATGGCTTCCTCCACATCAGCCAAATGGATTGCTAACCTATGCTGTCCTTCTTACTGGCTTCTTCTATACTGATGAAGGTATTTCCATCTATATACTAATATCCAAGAGTCCCCTCTGCCTGTGGATACTTATTTCCACAGATAGGGGGCTCACCTTTCCCCAACAGGTTTTTCTACAAACTCAGGGGACTCTGTGTCTGCAGAAAAATAAAAAAAGTTAAAAAAAAACTTGGGGAGAATTGAATTTTCCCCAATAACTTTTGAAATGGCTCTTGCAGGGATCTACTCCAGGCCCCACCTGCATGAACAGTGAGAGAGTAGAATGTTTGGGGAGGGGGACGCTTCTAACTGGTTCTGTCAATAAAAGGCAGGGGAAGGGCCCTTTCCAGGCCTATTTTGGCCTATCAGGAGGGATCCTTAGGGCCAGACCTGCAAGGGTTGCCAGTGCCAGGCTGGGAAATTCCTAGAGATTTTTGTGGTGGAGTCTAAGGAGGGCTAGGTTTGGGGAAGGGAGAGCCCTCAGCTGGATATAATGTCACAGAATCTAGCCTCCAAAGCAACCATTTTCTCCAGGGAGACAGATCTTTGCTGTGTAGAGTTCAGTCATAATTCTGGAGGATCTCCAGGCCCCACTTGGCAGTTGGCAACCCTAGGCTTGGCAGCAACTTGATGCATCTCACTTTCATGACTCAAGTAGGCCTGGCTGCTTGCTACTGTTCATCAGCAGCCACCCTATGAAAGCCAGTGTGATGTAACAGCTTCAGATTAGGGTCTGTAAGACTCAGGTTCCGATCCTCATCTTGTGGTGTAAGCTGACTGGGTGATTTTGGACCAGTCACATACTTGCAGCTTAACCAACCTCACAGAGTTGTTGTGCAGATAAAAAGGAGGAGAGAATACTGTAAGGTGCTTTGGTCCCCACTGTGAAGACTGCAACTCCAGGTTGGAAAGTTCCTGGACGTATGAGGGGTGGAGCCTGGGGAGGGTGAGATTTGAGGAGGGGAGGGACTTCAGACCAGTGTAATGCCATAGACTCCACCCTGCAAATTAGCCATTTTCTCCATGAGATCTACCATTGTCAGCCTCCAGGTGAGGGCTGGAGATCACTCAGAATTACAACTGTTGTCCAGGTGACAAAGATCAGTTACCCTGGATAAAATGGCTGCTTTGGAGAGTTGAGTCTATGGAATTATACCTGCTGAGGCTGCTTGCCTCCCCAAGCCTCACTGTTTCAAGGCTCTACCCCCAAATCTCCAGGAATTTCCCAACCGGGAGCCGGCAGCTCTAAGGTGAATTGATCTCTGTAGCTGGGAGATACATTGTGATTCCCAGAGTGCTGCCACTGCTGCTGGGGTGGGGGGAGAGGAAGCAGGTTGGTGGCTGGGAGTACCGCCACCACTGCTGCTGTGCGGGGTGGGGGAGGAAGCAGGCAGGAGGTTGGGACAGTGATGGGGGCAGAAAGAGAGAGTGATAGGGTGGGGGCAGAAAAAGAAAAAGTGACAAGGCGGGGAGGCAGAAAAACAAAGAGGATTATGACTGGTCAGAAAGAGAGAGGAAGTAACATGGATAGAGGAAAGACAGAGAGTAAGAAAAAGGGGGCTGAAAGGGGACCGTGTGCGAGAGTGGTTGGGGAGGAAGCAAAGGTGTGTGAGGAATGGGATAACCATCCCACAAGTTTCTTGCAGGTCTCCAGTTGTTATAGCATATTATCTGGAATGTTCTAACGTCATTTTAGTTATACATTATGAGTTGGATGGGATCTAAAGATGCCCTTTTGCATGCAGAATAATTCCTACTCATAGAAGGAATGTTTTTATCTGTTTCAAGAATGGTCCACAGAAGAGTTAAACTGAATTCAAAGGTGGATTTCCACTTGGATATGAGCAAGTTTGCACAACCTCTTCCAAAATATAAGCATAAGATTCCACGTATATCATTATGAGAACACTTTAGCATCCTCTTGATAAATGGTACTATCTTGTTTTCCTTCTGCTGATGCTTTCCTACCCACGAAGGCTGCACATGCATGGAAGGCAGCATCAGCCTGGCCAGCTTTGTCTTCCCACCATCCATGGCAAACCCTCTGCTCTTTCCCCTCACCTCCACTATGGATGGGGTACCAGAATGGGCAAATTGGAAGGGCAAATGTTTCATTAGCGGTGAAGTGGGACATTTTAATATAATTTTAGGGGAGCTGATGAAGATCCAAGAAAATGCTTGTTACTAAAACTCCTTACTATCTTTTTTACCTTCATACATTAGTTGGTTTGCTATTCCTGTTGTATAGGCAGTTCTCATGAGACACAGATGGGTTGAGACTGGAAGAAGAGATCCCACAAGCTGTGTAAAACAGAATTATTCAGAGGGGCTTTTGGCACTGCCACCTAATTTTTGATCAACTGCATTTTCATTGGCACCATTGGCTACATTTAGGCAGGTGTGTGAGACAGTTCTGTTTCAAAGGGCATTTAAGGACGGGTGAGCTGTTTCAGCAGATTTGGCTTTGTATGTCTTTAATTTATTTTTTTTAATTGTTAATGGCCTCTTATGTTATGTATTCTTTTTGTTGCACTGTTAGCTGCCTTGAGTCAAAGAAAATAAGGCAAGAATAAATATTTTTAAAAAGTTATCATTGTAACTCACCTTGAATCTGGTTTCAGACAAAGGCAGGATAAACATGTTCTAAATCAGGGGTGTCAAACGTGTGGCCCATGGGCCGGATCAGGCCTGCAAAGGGCTGCAATCTGGCCCGAGAGCAGTTGACTCTGCTCCTTTCTGCTTCATGTATCTATCATAGCAGCTCCTTCTGGCCATTCTGTCCTAGTTCTTGCTTCACAGGAGAGAAAGAAAGCCTTTCCTTAATAGCTGAGGGCTCTTCCTTCTCCTCCTCCTCCTCCTCTGGGAAGGGAGGGGGAGGGAAAGAACCAGAGACAGGGGAGAAAATGGCATCTCGTGGGATTTCTAAGAAAACCAGCAACATTTTATTGTAGGTAGAAGCACAGTTTTTCTTCAGAGGGAGGTAGGTATGGGGGGGAGAGTCCTTTGTTTAAGACCCCAAAACATTTTATTCCCAGTATGTGGGGGGAAGAGTCCTTTGTTTAAGACCCAAAACATTTTAATTCCAGGTATGGGGGGGAGTCCTTTGTTTAAGACCCAAAATTTTTTTATTCCAGGTATGAGAGAGAGAGAGAGTCCATCCCATGGCACTTGGAGAGATCTCCCTTTCCATTTCTAACAGATGGAGGGGAGAAACCTTACAGCACAGTGTGCATTCCTTTTTATATATATATATAAGTACCCGAGGGTACACTTTTATTATTTTTTTCCATTATATACTACAGACATACAAACATACATACAAACAACCCCCAACTATTCCCACAACATATAACATATAACAAGAGACTTTACCATTTCTTCTGCTTATTAAATTTCTAAATTCATTATCTATTTTACTAAGCTTATCTTTTCTGCGTTCTCAAATTACTACATTTATCTATGAGTTGCATTTACATTATACCAATCGTAGAATCTCTTCCAAGTTTTTTGAAAAGTCCATTCTGTATCGGCTCTCATCTCAAGTGTCAGTTTGTAATTTTCCGCCGTTTCAAATAGCTTGTTCACGTACTCTTGTTTCGTTGGTATTTCCATTATTTTCCAATATTTGGCATATACTATCCTTGCAGCTGTCGACATATGAACTGTCAAATACCTATCTGCTTTATCAAAGTCTTTTGGAAATATAGTCAGTAACAGTATCTCTGGAGTAAACGGGATATTAGTTCTTATTATTTTTTCCATTATCTCATGAATCCATCTCCAGTACCTCTTTGTAACATCACATAACCACCACATGTGATAAAAAGAACCAGTCTTATTTTTACATTTCCAACATTTATCAGAGCAATTAACATTTTGTTTAGCTAATCTATCTGGTGTAATATACCATCTATAAAACATCTTATACATGTTCTCTTTATATGACACAGCATTAGTTAGTTTTATATTTTTCCGCCAAATCTGCTCCCACTCTTCAAAATTAATATTATGGCCTTTATTCTGGGCCCACATAATCACATTTTTTTCACCATTTCATCAACCATCACATCATCCAATAAAATCTTATATATTTTCTTTATCACTTTGTTTTCTGCTGTTAAAACAGTTTCTTTCAGATTAGTTATTTTATTATTAAAACCTAGTTTCTTATCCTTCAAATATATCGTGCATTCCTTATTAGTGAAAGGGAGCAAGAGTATAGCAGCACCTTAAGGACTAACAAAATTTGTGGCAGGGAATGAACTTTTATGAATCACTGCTCACTTCTTCAGATACAGATCGAATGTGAGTCCATCTGTCCTTATATCTTGGAGAGTGAAGTTATTTCAGATGCCAAAAGACAAGAGCAGGCATTGGTAATGAGAGAAGAAACCTAGGTCTCAGTTCAGTCCAGGAGTTTGCATTGTCTTGAGCTTCATGATCAGTTGCAATTCAGCAATCTCTTTTTCTAATCTCCCTTTGAATTTCCTTTGGAAGAGAACTGCTACTCTTAGGTCAGCAACAGAATGCTCTGGAAGGTTAAAATATCCCCCTACTGGTTTTTGAATGTTGTGGTTTCTAATAGTGGTATGAGTAAGAGTCCAGTAGCATCTTTAAAGATTAACAAAATTGTGGTAGGGTAAGGGCTTTTGTGAGGCACTGCTCACTTCTTCAGACTTATTTCCTTTTATTCTTTGCATCCTCCTGGACTGAATCCCCCTGTACCAAAGTGAGACCTAGGTTTCCTGTCTCATTACCAATGCCGATATCTCCATGCCTCTGTATATCACACCAATGCTGATATCTCCACCCCTCTGCATATCACACCTAATACAATCACACCTGGTATTGCCACTTGGCATCTGAAATTATCTTTATAAAATGTATATCTATGGTACCTTGTGTTATATTTTATGGCACCCATGGCCTGCCCTGACAAAATGACATTTATGTCAGATCCGGCCCTTGTAACAAATGAGTTCGACATCTCTGTTCTAAATAGATGTCCACTCTTGCATTCATGATATTGTGCTACATAC